CACCCAGCTGTGAGCTGTAGGATGGGGAGGCTGCAGTGCTGGAACCCTGAGGATACAGGTCCCTTACACCTCTGCCCTGGGCTGGGCACCCACCAGGGAGAAGTATGGGTTCCTTGCAGGCAAAATGAGCACAATCCCATTTAATTGGCCAAATTAAATCATCCCTGCCCATTCCAGCAGGGCTGTTCCACTTTGCACCAACCTCTGCCTCACCATCAGGCCACCAGATCTCGGGCACAGCTCTATACCTGGGCATGAGGACACGGTGTAAGGGCTGCACCAGGGACTGACTCGATGCTAGACATACCACAGTGCCCCAGCAAGGAGAGAGCTGAGTGACTGGTGCAAATAATCGCATTCAAGCACACAGAATAGTTAGTTCCCTTCTGCATAGCCTGGATGGCCCTATGACGCAGTACTGCTCAGGGACCCCAATTTCTCTGACACCCTGCAGGTCAGTGGGTGCTGACCCCCAAAATGTTTGTGCCTAGGTCAGATCCTTGACAAGGGACCGACCAAAGGCAGCACATAGTGGTTGTTAGTGCGGATGCCTCAGCCTGTCCTCAGCTCCAGCATGAAACCCCCCATACAGCACACACCAGCACTAGCACCAGCACCAGCCCAGGCCAGATGGTGCCTGGGGCTTTGCAGGATCCTGCTATCCCGTGGGATAAACCTGGCTTTGCTCATCAGTGTGGCACTGAGGAGCATCACCCAGCTGGGGTTTCCCCTTCCCAGCAAATCCCACTGGGATTCAGGGAGTACAGATGTGCACACCCCACTTGCAGAGCTCAGCCTGGGAGCAGGGGCAGAATACAGTGCTGACCTCGTGCCTTCAGCTTCCTCTTCCTCCTCCTCAGGCACTCCAGGTCTGCCCTGGTTCTGTTTCCTGTTGGAGAGGGGATGGGAAAGGTGTCCCCATCCCTGGACACTGCAGCCCCATGGCACTCACTTCCATTCCTGGTTCAGGGTACACCAAGCCCCAGGGCACCAACCCTCCCCTGCAGCAGTTTCAGCACCCCCTTGGGAGGATTCAGGCGGCTCAAACACACAAACGCGAATTCAGGCCATTTTCCAGGCCGGGAGAGGCCCCAGAGGCTCCAACCTGCTTTGCCTTCACCCTGTCTCCAACACAGCCCAGCCGGGAAGGTGGCACAATGCCACGGGGTGGGAAACCCTCTGCGCACCCAGTGACCATCCCCAGAGCTCAGCTCCTGCTCAGGGCTCACTTTGGGGTGTTTAGCACTTCTCAGGTTGAGTCACACTCGCTCTTTTACAGCTGCCAGTTGGATCAGTGGTTGCCCACCTCTGGGCAGACAGTCCCACCCTCGCTGGGAGCTGCTTCCCCCATTTCCCAGTCCAGTGCTCTGGAAAATCTTCTCTCCCACATGCTCGTGTCTTGTGATGCATGCAGAGCTCACCTAGGCAGTCCCACCCTGGGACACTAGATGCTGAGACTCACCAGGACAGGATGTGTCCTCTTGAGAGGGCAGTGGGGGTGGCTCCAGCCCTGGCCAAGGTGGGTGAAAGATACCCAAGTTTGCTCAGAGCTCATGCTCAGCCAGGCTGAGAGCGAGGGGTCCCTGGACCTCTCTCCATCACACCCAGCACCCTCAAACCCCCTCCTCACTGCCCTCCCCTTATCTGGCCTACAGGCCTGGAGACAAAGCAGACTCACATGGGCTCTTCACCCCAGTTTTTCATCTGAGCTTCACTCGACTTCCCTGTGCCACTGCTACGGTGGGCACAGGGCAGTGGCAGCACTGCCCTGGTGCCAGAGCAGAGTCCCCACAGCCCCCAGAGGCAGGAGAACCACTCCAGGGTCCCACCGCCCCCAGAGGCAGCAGAACCACTCCACGGGACCAACGAC